TGGAAACACAAAGAAAACAAAATCAACAAGGCTAGTATAACTTTCTGGCAGAAACATGATTGTCAGGTTATTGGTATATGTACATAGTTCATAATTAAAATTATTTTGTAAATTATTGAAGTGCATAATTAATAATAGTAATACTTAATGTTTATAATATCCTACATTTACACTATCAATATTATTCGTTAATTGAAACAAAATGTGAAGTTTTTGTTATAAGGGGGTGTCGAGCCGAATCTCACCCAATCTCATGTGGGGGAGAGGGAGATTTTCGGCAAATATTATGTTTTTTTTTCCGCAAGCAAGAGCTATTTCGAGAAAACTGCGCTTAATTAAGTAAAATATGGTTAAAACCGGCACAATAATAAACCCAACGTAATTAAGCACATATAACGTATTTACACTAAAATACGCATTTTAAAAATGTCATGTAATTATCTGGGGGGTGGGGGTGGAGGAGTTTGAGGCATACCTCACGATACCTTAGTAGGGGGAGGGAGATGGTAGAAACATTTCCAAAATAGCCTCATGTTATTAATTAACGCAAAGAAAGAATTTCTCTGCAGTAGTTTCTTAACAGTAGGGTATAAGTACATTTTTTTTTGTTGGCATTACATTTGCACAATATAGAGTGGCAGATGTTGCAACTATGAAACGCAACCAGTCCTAACAATGCAATTAATAGTTTAATACACTACTTAGGAGGGCTTTTGGGTGTTGGGTTTTGGGGGGGTTTTGGAAAAATTTTTTAAAAAAAAAAAATTTTTTCAAAAAATTTTAAAAAAAATTTTTTATATAATTTAAAAAAAAAGGTTTTTTTTAATGCAATAAGTGGGAAATATTCGTAAATATAATAAAAACAGCTTCTAAAAAGTTGTAAGAAGATTTTGTAGAACGGATATTATTTCAAAATTTCCGGCCGAAGTCTAAAAACCGCTTTGACATCAAACTCAATGGATCTATGGAGAAATCAAAGTAGTGTTACTCGTGCACTGTGAAATTTAATTATAAATTTAATCAATCAATCAATAAAAATGGCAACTGTTCAGGAGATATTATAGTAGGGTTGTTAACACTATATATATTTTTTTCTTAAAAGAATATTAACAATGCTATAAACATTACTAATATTCCCCTTAACCACTCGTGGTAAGCTTAAATTGCTTGTGTAACGAGTGGTTCACGCCAGTAGTATTATAGTATGCTTGAATATTAGATGTCCGAATAGTTAAGTAAAGTAAACGCGAACAATGGCGTGAGGCTGTTAATAAAGGATCATCATCATCATTGTCACAGAAGGGCTGTGACAATGATGATGATGATACTTTATTACAAATCCACTGCTTAACATGGACCTCCTACAAGGAATGTCACAAAGTACGGTCCTGAGCCACCTGCATCCATCGACTTCCTGCATGTCTTACCAGGTCGTCACTCGAGCGGCCGCCTCAAGCTTACCGGCATGAGGCTGTCACTCGTGGTTGTTGGGTTTTTGAGCTATATGGCCGGCCCATTGCCACTTCAGCTTATTAATCGGTTGGGCTTTGTCGGTTATCCGCAGTAGAACCAGAGTAACGACCCAAAGCAAAAATATTCGTTTAAAAGTTAAAAAATTGTATTTGTTAATTTTTTTGCCATTTGCTAACTATATTTTTATGGTGGCCTCGGTAATGATCTATGTGATATAAAAAAATTATGGAAAGAAGAAATTGGTTTTAGTGCAAGCGTAAACAGAGAGGACACTACTAATTTAGGTAGAATATAAATATATCTGATGCTTATGCGCGTTAGGTTTGGATGAAGTGTCAGACATGGGAACAATTGCAATCCACAACACTCAAAGCAAAAATCTAACTATTTGTTTGTTTATAAAAATGTTGGTTTTGAATGTTCGCGGTTTAGAAGCAACTTTGACCACTTGGCCACTAAGTCGTTTGTGGCGATGAATATTTTGTTCAAAAGTTGGAGAGGTTTCACAATTGTTTTTTTTTAATCTACTCATTTCAATCCCTTGTGATTGTCAGTTTATAATCGACCTGTAAAATTAGACCTCAGAAAAGAACTGGGAAACAATTCTTAGACCGTTTTTTTTTAATGTCATAATATATTATGTAGGCTCCATAGAGTAGATAGCCAGAGGATTTGCAAGTGTAGTTCAAAATTAATTATTTACACATTTTTAATTCTTAACAAGTTTTTGTTCATTGTGGTTATTTTTAAAAAAAAAAAAAAAAAAAAAAAACTTTTTTCTCCGGCCAAGGATTTTTTTTATAACTGCAAGATTAAAAAGTTGGTGTTTTGCTCGAAATTTAAATTTTTTTTAATTATTTATTTGATTTATAGGATATTTACAAAAATAAATTAATAACTTGTATTATCTACCCCTCGCTATGAAGTGCCGAATATTATGGCTGCGTCTTCCTAAATGTATCTAATTAACCTTTGAGCGAAAAAATAACTAGCCCCATAACTGTCATCAACGAAGACGACCAGTCGTGGATACCGTTCTACGAAATTTTTAATGCTTACTAATTTATAAAAAAACCTTACTACAAAAAATGGAATGGGTTTCGCATTTGTAGCCTCAAACATGAGCAGTGAATCCATAAGTTGTTTATGAGATAAAATTACTTTTTAATAGTAATTGGTTTTCTGGATCTCGTGTCTTAAACGCACCTTTATTTTGCACTTTCCCGGCTCGTTTGTTGTTTTTCTAATACTTTTTTAAAATAATACAAACAACGTTAGCAAGGTTTCATTTACATATGTACAACCAGCATCTACAACAGCGACGAGCTCTCATAAATCAATATTCTTCCTATTTTTTTTTAAATTGTCAGATGTCATCAATTTTGGAGAAGATAAACCTGTAGTCTGTAGACTTTTTTATATTAAACTGCAGTCGCCAACGAATTATCAGTTCATCTGATAATATAACAATGCTGAAAAGACACGGGCAGTACGGGCGCATGCAGTAAGACAAAGGCACGAAGACAAGCCCAAAAACAAAACCCGAAAACCAACAATTTGTGTGTTTGCACAATATTTGCCGTAGTTGCCAGAGTTAGCAGGTGGCTTGGTAACCGTAGTTTTTATTTTTACTTTGAGCTGTTATCAGGAAGATGCTTGTGGCGGCGCTGTCGTCGCGCCACAAGCGAAACACACCGAAGCCTAAATCGCGCTATCAAAGTTCCGAATCATAAACAGTATATATAGAACAGCTCTGAAGTATCACACGGAGCGTTGGCCGCTCCCGGGTAGAACCCCTTGTCCGGCGGGAGATCTCCCCTTTTTCTTCTACAGCCACATGCTACAGACCGCCTCGTTTAATATTTTTAGTTATTAGTTAATTTAATTAAGATTTATAAAAATTCATGCATTTAGTATACCACTGAAAATTTGATCAATACAAGATTCGATAACCTGTAAACATATTCTCTATACTCTATAGGTGTTTATAGTTTTAGTACTCTATAGTTTTGTTACATATCCCTGTATCTTGTTTGTAATCAAAGTAGTTTTTAATGACTCGTTTAGTATATACATCAGTAATTATTATTGTAATTCATGCTATACACGTTTATATTTATGCAACTAACAACAAACTTGTATTTAGATTTATGTAGAACGTATAAAGTAAAATTATTAGCATTTGTATCTTGTCAACGTTTAAGATAACAAAGAAATCTAAATCAGTATAATACAGGGGTGATTTCTGTTTGAAGATAAGTGTAGTGTCTAAGCAGCTCACTGTTTTACCTTTTATAAGAAAGAAAAGTTCATTTTCTATTTATTTAAATTTGCGTTGACAATGCATAATTATTATAAGATTAGTGTATGACTTAGTACGGTTAATAGAAAACTGATTTAGTTCGTTCAATAAATTCAATTGTACTTTAGGTGTAAGTAAGAACTTAATTTAGATTTCGCAGAAATGTTCTCCATGCATTGCTTAGTTTTACTTGTATCTGGTACAACTTTACGGAGGAAGCAATAACAAAGATTCATTCGAAAAGGATTTTTAAATCGCTACTTTACTTGATGAAGTTCAATCATCATAAACTTATCAAGCCTACTGTTGTACATAGGTTTGGCGTCATCGTCATCACCATTGTCATCACAGCCTATCAAAAGCCCATTGCTGCACATAGGCCTTCCTCGTAGATTGTCTCACGTAGATTTGTCATGGTTACTACGCTTGGCAAGCCGGTTGACAACCGCGTTTTTTTGACAGGAGTCGCTGCTGCCCATGTCCTTGTTTGTTCCATCATGCCGCCTCTTAGAAATCCGCGGAATGATGTGGGACAGTACAAATTCTTTCACCGCCACTACTTGGACGGTTAGTGTGAGGAAATGTAGGTATATGTAGAACTATCTCCAGCTGCTCCACATCATCAGTCTTAGCAATTCGGGTTTTGAATGCATTTTCCGTCATTATTTGTACATCAGCTGCGTGTCTGTCAATTAGCAGGTAACGTTCGTAAATGTCAGTAGCGTGTTGATAATGTTAATATTCAGGAAATATTTGGCATATTCTCTGTTTGGTATTAGTGGTCGTAAGCGCGACTGCTGATCATCTGGTCCCGAATTCGAATTTTGGATCGGGCTAAATTCATTTTAGCGTAGGTATTTTTGTCCAAAAAATTCTAGTAAAACTAGCAGCCCGGATTCCGAAAGTTCGTGGTGCTTAAACCTCGTGTTTCCGAAAGCACGTAAAACCGTTGGTCCTGCTACTGTCCTCTCCGATTGTGTTAGATTGCCGTCCTATCGGACTATGCGAGTGAGGGAATAGAGAGTAGACCTGTGCTTATGCGCCCCTCGTACACTATAATACTGTGCTGCGCAGAATGCTAGCCAAGATTAAGGACTGGCCGTAGTGAACGATATTATCTTTATCGATAGTCTAGATAATCTAGACTAAAAGGAAAAACTCAGGTTTTAGAAACGGAGAAATGCAACAAAAGTTTAATTTTGCCAATTATTTGCTTTATGTTAAGGTGAAACCGTACCAAACGTCGCTATGCATACGCACGGCGAGGAAGGTGGGCCGGGTGGGAGTCATGCTTGTGGGATGGGGTGGTAACAACGGTTCCACCTTCACCGCGGCGGTGCTGGCGAATAAGCATCAGATCTCCTGGAACACTAAGAACGGGAAAATGGAACCTAATTGGTGAGTAATTTTTTTTCCATAAATCCTTGAACTCCAATTGCTGTCCTTGATATTATAAAACGTCGGAGAAAAAGTTTCTTCGTATTTTACATACAAATCAAGACATTTTTGAAAGTTTAATTACATTTAATTATAATATATATGTTCCATTTTATTCGATACTTGTTGCCATCTTGTAGGTAGTGACATAATAATCCCGTTGCTGTAAGAAATCTTGGTATTTTTGATTAAAAAGATGCGACAGCTTTGACAGTTTCCTCTCTTGATGTTAACCTAACTATTCCCAAAGAATTCAAAAGATACTGAAACAGTGAAAGTCTGAGGATGCAAGGTAACACTTCCAAACCAAGCTCTCCCAATTTTTGCTGAGTGGCCAAATATGTGTGTGGTCTGGCGTTATTATGATGAAAGACTACTCCTTTGCTGTTGATCAATTCCGACCATTTTTCTTAATTTCTTGCTTGAGTCTCATTAGTTGTTGGCAGTAGAGATCCGAATCGATGGTTTTGTTCGGCGGTAAAAGCAAATAATAAACGATGCCCATCCAATCCCACCATACACACAGCATCACCTTATTGCGTGTTAATCCGAGTTTTGCTACAGTCTGTGGAGCTTGAATACCCTTTCACCATGATCTTCGCACGTTCTTGTCATAGGTGATCAACTTTTCATCACCAATGATCAATCTTTTCAAAAATGGTTCGGTTTCATTACGTTTCATTAGAGAAAATGTGTACACGATTCACTGGGTTTCTTTCAGTGAGCTCGTGTGCTACCCAAATATTGAGCTTTTTTGTATAGCCAGACTTTTTCAAATGGGTCAAAACTGTTTTGTGGTCAATCCTCAATTCCTCGGCTATGTCGAACCACTAATATGTAAATCTTGCTCCATTTCTTCAAAAATGGTATCGACTTTATCCGTATGAGGGCGACCAGAGCGAGCTGTATTTTTTACATCAAAATTCCCTAACTGTAAACGTTTGAATTAACTGTGTTGTTTGTAAGTAACTAATCTTACTGACACTGCATGCACGCGAAAAAAATTTTTTTTGCGGCTTGAGTCGCATTTTTCCCTTTTTTGTAATAAAACTTCAGAATGTATAGAATTTCTTTTTTAGATTCACTCATTATGGCGGACAGAACAACTATTGAATAATAGGGGAAAGTGTTTTTTAATTTTTATTTTTATTTTTCTTAATGCCCTATATGTATAGATATTAAACCAGCCACATACAAACAGTAGAACCAAAGAGATTTTTCTTTAATTTTATAAAAATTAAAAACCAATAAACTTTTTCCCCGTCCTGTTATATAATATTAGAACTGTTAATTCTATCATCAGAAGAGGATGTACATTGACAGAATAAGACCATAATAAGTTGTTCTTAAACAGGTACGGTTCAATCACGCAAGCGTCCACAGTTCGTCTCGGCATTGATGAGAAAGGCAATGATTTCTACGTCGGGATGTCGGAACTTTTGCCCATGGTTCACCCTGACGATCTGGGTAAGTTGTTTAAGGATTTTTTTTAACAAATTTCAATTATTTTTTCTATAGATTTTTGTTTCAACATCATGTGAATATTGTTTTATCATGTTTATATTCTAGCTTAATCGCTGTTGTGTCTGTTTTTATAAAATATATATAATTACTGGCAGACATCATTTCTTTAAAATTTCGGGCAGGTTTCCGCACGATGTTTTCCTTTATCGCCGAGCACATGGTAAATCAAGAATTAAAATTGTAACTATCAAAGTTATTGGCATCGCCGGAGTTCGAACCGGGATGTCCAGTGTACTGAGAAATTTATCGCGACTGCTTAGTTTTATCCTTCTCCGAGCTATCACGGTCTCATTATTTTTTTCTATAAATAGCACTTAAAATTGTAATCATCCATTTCTTGGGTGCCGGCGTGGTCGAACCTGGGTTGCTCGTGTACGGTGAGCATTTTACCCCTGAGTTACCACGGCTTTATTTACCTTTCTCTAAAAACCCTCTCAGAAATGTGAGAAGACTTTTGCCCAGCTGTGGGGCGTAGATAGGCTGTAACTTAACTTTTATACAACATAGACAAACGAAAGAACATAACTTTATTGACACAGAATATTCATTTTTTACCAACATTTCGCCCGCATACTTGACGTTCCGCTCTAGTTTATTTTAAGTTATGCCGCCTAAGCTGAGAGCAGAAATTCTCAACTAACTTTGGAAAGTAAAGATAAAGTAATCCCGTCTATATTTTGACTATAACTACAACTTCCAAATTCCCTATCAGAAGTTATCAGCTGTGTAGAAAATATGGTTTAGAGGCCTTTGACAGTCACTTGTCCTGACGATTCAAACGGTTAGTCACTGGCGTTACCGAGACCCCTAACGTTGCTATGTATGTGGCGTTGCCACAAGTCACATTAGTCATTCCAACCAAATGGTTAGCCACTGTAGTTACCGAGACCCCTAACGTTGCTATGTATGTGGCGTTGCCACAAGTCACATTAGTCATTCCAACCAAATGGTTAGCCACTGTAGTTACCGAGACCCCTAACGTTGCTATGTATGTGGCGTTGCCACAAGTCACATTAGTCATTCCAACCAAATGGTTAGCCACTGTAGTTACCGAGACCCCTAACGTTGCTATGTATGTGGCGTTGCCACAAGTCACATTAGTCATTCCAACCAAATGGTTAGCCACTGTAGTTACCGAGACCCCTAACGTTGCTATGTATGTGGCGTTGCCACAAGTCACATTAGTCACTCGACTTCTGTCGTTAACCACTTCTCGCATGGGTACCTATTTTAAGCTTGCTACTTATCTATTAAATACGAGACGATTTTGCGACCCCCCTCCCCTGTCCCCTAGGTGAAATGTCGTGACATTTTGCTCGACCCCCTCCTCCCTCCCCTAATCTCATTTGAGATTTTTCAATATTCTTATTTTTAATGTAAATAAATTAATATTTATTGCGTTAGATTTATTTAAAGAAAAAGCAATTTGTTTAATTCTTTTTATTTATGACTAGTTAAGGCTAGTATTAAGGACTTAAGAACGTAGTCTAGAATCATAGTGAAAAATCGAACAATAAAATACTTAAGTATATGAACTAATTTTCATTTGGCTAGCCGGTGCGGTGGCGGCAAAACAATCGAAGGGCTACTGTGCTACCTTGTAGCGTTCGCATAATTAAATCGCGATAAATATTAATATTATGATTTAGTCATATTTTAGTAGAGAAACATTTTTACTTCTTTTAAGACATTTTTACTTATTTCGCCGTTTTACTCTGTTTTTTGCCGAAAAAAAATTACGCGAGACCCCCTCCCCCAACCAAAACTCTTCACGTAATTTATGGACGCCTCCTTAGTTAAAGTGGTTAATAATAAAAGGTATTCTTTTATCCTTATGTAACCTAAATAAAATTCAAACGATACCGCAATGTTTTCTGAGTTTCAAAAATGAGATTTGGTTGGAATTCAACCTAATATTGTAATACCAATAACCAATGAAAATTCTCATTCAGTAAGGTTCTTTGTTGTTGGCAAAAGTAAAAAAAAGTAAAGTTACAGCCTATATACGTCCCACTCTTTGGCTCAGGCCTCCGCTCATTTCTGAGAGGGTTTTAGGGCAAGGAAGTGTCCGCCGCGCTGCCCCAATGCGTGTTGGCGAACTTCACATGTCTTCGAAATATTATTTTTTCTTATTTCTCTGACATGCAGGTTTCCTCACGATATTTTCCTTCACCGCCGAGCATGCGGTAAATCGGCACTTAAAATTGCAATTAACAATTTCATTGATGCCGGCGGGGATCGAACCCGGTTTGCTCGCGGACTGTAAAATTTACAGCGAGCACTAACCATCAGAGCTACCACGGCTATTTCGGTTGTTGGCAACATCGACATAAATTGTAAATGTTAAATTCATATAATTGTCCATGAATGTATGTAGAATAATATTTCCATAATTGAATGTATGTACGAGCACGAGCAAACGCTCTGTAGTACTAGTATGGTAAATAACGTCAACTCCACACTATATCAATGTAGGTCACACTTATTACGACCTCGTAGCTTCTACTCAACTTCCATATTATAATGTTAAATTATAACAAGGCTTCCATATTGAATTACGACCTTTGATTTGTCTTTTATTTTTGAGGAAATAATTCTATTAAGCGCTTAAACCTTGTTGAAATGATGAAGATAAAAATAAATGTGAATCATATGTTTGTAGCAAAGTACTTCGAACAATGGAGAATTTCAGCTTCAGCCGATAACAAAATTTCGATTAATAGAATTCTTGAATGGGAAACAATAAAAATTCTAATCCAAAAACCCATAAAACTGACTCCGTTTTTTTACCTTATTATTTAAAAAAAGTAGTTACGAGGGGCGTTCAATGTATTCTCGGTACGGGTATGTTAGAAAAAGATAAAATTATGAAATATTTTTAGAGTTTTCAATATTTATTTACTTGTTCGTGAAAAAAGCTTTTCTATTCCCTTGAAAAAATATTCTTCGTCTTGACCTGAAAAATGCTCATTTACAGCGGACTTGAGCTCATTATCGTCAGCAAATCGCTTTCCCCGAAGGTCTTTTTTTTAAGTTTGGGAATAAAAAGTAGTCACTAGAGGCTAGATCTGGGCTGTATGGTGGGTACCAGTAGTTTCGTGTGAACCGGTGCGTTGCCACGATGAAGTAGCATTCCCTTGGTCAGCTTTCTTCTTCTCTTTTCTTTTACTGCTTCTCTCAAACGGCGTAAAGCAACTGAGTGTTGGTCTGCGTTGATGGTTTTCGTGTGTACTCCAGCAATAGTATTCTTAGCGTTCAGCCGTCGTAGAGTCTACATCACCTGAGGATGCCTCGTGTAGAGGCGAAACACGTGTCGTATTATCGTCGTTGGTGTGTCTTACCTGGACTAGTGGTGTTGGAAGTAGTGGTGTTGGAAGTAGTGATGCCGAGAGTAGTGGTGCTGGGACTAGTGGTGACGGAGTTAGTGCACGCAATTGAGGGAGGGCGGGAGGTGCTCTTCAATCCAGGTAAGACACATCATTGTATTTAGTTAGCGGAAGGTTGCAAAATAATTAATATTTTTATTACAATAGTATTCCTTTGGATCCCAAAACACTCGCCATGAGATACCTTTTTATGCCATTGCTTAGACTCGTGTTTACTCTCAGGATCATAGTGGTGAACCCACGTTTCATCTCCTGTAACTATTCTATCAAAAACACTTGTTGGGTCGTCACCAAACAGCTCTGAAAACTCTCTACAACGGTCAACCCGCGCCTGCTTTTGAAGCGCAGCGAGCATTCGCGGCACTCAACTTGCACTGACTTTTGTGAGGTTGAGATAGTCATGCAGTATGGTGTGTATGGTACCAACAGATAGGTCAGTCATTTCTGCTAACATCTTAATTCTTACTCGTGCAGTTTCTATTACAAGATTTTTAATAATCGCGTTTTCTTCTGTAGCCGCTGTGATTGGCCCACCCGGGCGGGGGTCATCTTCGATGCATACCCTGCCTCTTTTAAATTCACTTGATCACTTCTATATGGTTGACATTGAAAGAGCAGAGTCTTGGTCTGGAGAGAACTTTATCATTTCTGAAAACAATATGATGATTATGACTCGTTATCAAAAAATAAGTTTTATTCGCCGCATAATTTCACAATGAATACTTTGTTATTCATTATTCATAACGACCCATCAAACAAAAGTGCACTGCTGAACAAAAACCTCCCCTTAGAGTACCTATGCATAAACATATTAACTTGCTTATATATACTCTAAGGACCCCTCCCACTTCCATAGATCGTCTAATAGGAGATATTCGCGTGACTGTCGTGACCAAAATTATTTTTGTTGAAATAAGACCAAACGAGGTAATTAAACTTGAAATAGTTTAACAACCTAATAAAATAGCAGCTCAACACTGTTGTGTTTCGTATGGCGAGTACAGAGAATCGGAGACCCTCTTAACTGGAAACGAGGTAAGAATAATATTAAAATTTTGTGGCGAGGGCTTTTAGAAATACCGGTCCGATACTTAGAACACCGTAATGCAACAAGCGTGTGTTTGCATGACGAACGACCCGCCGCTCTACACGCTCTTCACTTAGGCTGGTTTATCATAGAGAAATGATTTATAGACATTTGATAATGTAATAAAATTATAATAGCGGTCTAAGGTCTTTTAGTAGCAGCTATTTGATTCATTTCAAACGTGTGGAGTTAAGTAGCTGCCACGGTGCGAAATTCCCAACCTAACTATCCGCATCCTGACAATTTGTTCAATGTATAAAATCAATATGATGTCCCTAGCCTGTGATTTTATTATAATATGGTAAATATCTTATCATTGTATTAAAAGAATTAACTTTATCGGACGTGTGATGGCGGTGTAAAAATATCCACTACACCATATCGGCTCGTGGGTGACGTAAGAGGCAGAGGTGAAGGAACCAGGAGATGGGCAGCAGCGTCTATAATATTACAATTAAAAAATAAAATACTGTTATTGCCAACCCGCCTGTTAGGCGTGGCAAGTGGCAACAATGGCAAATGCCCCTTATGAGGCAATATATGGTGAGACCTACGTTCAGTAGTGAGCTTTTAATTGGCGGTTAACGGTAATAAACTTCATATAATGTGTGATAATTTATTTTTAATGTTTAGTACTTTTGATTCGAAAAAAGATTAGAGGGCTTACATAATAATAATCAATTAATAACGTGCTAGAATATGTTGGTTTTGTGCATTGATCACAAGGTCAGGCCAAGGAGGTGGCAGTTAGGTCAGGGATATAGGTCACCAGGTAGGATGACCCAATAACATTTAGCCTTTCAAATCTAACTTATTTCTTTGTTAAACCGTGATTGCTTTATTTATATTTTGTTTTTATTAGCAGCACACATTGAATAACAACAGCAAATAACATATTTTGGCGCGGTTACTTATAAAAAATTACTTTATAAAATGCTAGCACATCTTAATAAAACGCGATAACGACAAAATAAAAACCTGTCATGACTTATTTTGAATTCCTTAAGAATTATCATAAAGAGTACTAGTATTTTTACAAAAATAAAAAAGAAATTAAATAATGTTAAAAAACTGTATTATATGTTTTGCTTTATAGGCTTTTTGAATAGTCTCTCCAATAGTCGTATCTTGGCAACTTTATATAAAATTCATTACCACATCTAGTCGAGTCGACTAAGACTTCTTGTACATGGAACGTGTACTTACAAGCCGCGCCGCCACCGCACCAGTGCTACTCCGCTAGAAACAAAATTCACGTTAACACAATTCCAACACCAAGAATTCGTTATGACTATCTCCCATCAGCACGTAGGTGAAATTATTAGTTAATGGGAAATTTTGCATAGTCTCCATTTCAGATTGTCAGTAAATTATTAATTATAGTTTTTCTTGGTCTATAGCAATAGTAACTAAGTGATATGTCTAAACTGTATGGCTAAAGATAGACAGATATCTACATTTATTTGAGTCCATCAAAGACTATTATTAATTTATCAGATTGTCTGTCATGCATTTTCAACTGTTAACGCTTTTAATAATATTCGGAATTTTAGTTCATTACATGCATTGAGATTACATGACGTTACATTATGGTTGTAAATAATGTAATGTCATGTAGAGCGGGGAAAAAAAGCGGAGAGTCCGTCACGCCGCCCCAATTCGTGTCAGCGAAATTTATTTCTTTGAAATATTTAAATGTCTCATACATGCAGCCCTTCTCGCGATGTTTTTCTTCATTGCTTATCAAGTAGTAAATTAGCACAATACAATTAACAATTTCATTGCTGCTGATGGAGATCAAAATCGTTTACTTGCGTACCTACCTACTTCTTGAGCTACCACACCTCAATGTAATATTGTATTATGTTATATTAGCGATCGATGGATGGGATATCAGCCCGCTGAACCTGGCGGAGTCGATGGCTCGCGCCAAGGTCATCGACTACGATCTCCAGCAGAAGCTGAAGAAGGAGATGGCGACTATGAAGCCTCGTCCGGCTATCTACGATCCCGATTTCATCGCCGCTAATCAGGTAAGGAAGATGATCAATAAACAAATGCTTCTATTTATTTAGTAACACATTTTTATTAACTCGCTTTCAGTATGTCGGTTTGAGCCGAATTTAGTGATTGATTTTAAATTAACTTCCCGATGAGCTAAAAACTTGAAATTTCGAATATAAAATAAGTAAATAAAAATAATTTATTTCAGACTTTTGGTCCATAAAAAGAGTTATTACAAAATATTTGTAAACTTACAAATTATGTTAGTAAAACAGAATACAAACTACACTATGACATTAATTTAAATATTTTCCGGGTCCGTTTGTGACACTTCGTATACACTCATGTGTGTATGGTGTCTCATGACTCGACAGTCTTGCTTATCACTAATGACCGTCAGAACAGTCTTGGAGCTCCCTCGCACTCCGCGCATGCGAGACGCGATTATAACATCCATTATGCACTGTAAAATCGCGGGAGTCCTAACATCACTCTGAAGGCATTATTATATTGAACTCGAAGAGCATCGATAGCCCGCTGCGTATACTTAACCTACGGATTACACGTGTACATTGTTTAGCAAGGGGCTTTAAACAGATTAATTTTAACGTTTGCGGTACACAGTGCAAATCTGCGAACCTACTACACACTACAAAGATACTTGATCTGGTTAGTCCGATAACCATACTAGTACTTAAAGATGTTTACCACATAGGCAGGCACAACAGCATTAGTCAGCCTAGCCCAGAGTATACCATATACCTAACAAGGTGAAATACATTCGACAGATTAATAAAAGCAGCATATACACATGTTTTCCTACCGGTGTAGTACTTGACTATATACTTGAGTGACATAATGGCATGTCTAAAACCGAATTGGGCATCATGTAATTCTAGATGTTTTTTGAGCTGTCTCTCAAGCAAACCATTAAACACCTTAGCAGTCACTGTAGCCAATGGGATTGGTTGGTAATTAGCTTTATCGGAAACATCCCCTGTCTTATTCTTTACTATCGGAACCACGATCATTTTCATTAACTCAACTGGCAGGTAGAAATGACGCTTACAAATTGTAAGTCTCTAAGTGTGGCCCTGCGTATAGAAAATGTTCTATGCTGAGGCCATCGTGCCCCGGCGTCTTGCCTCGCGTCATACAGTATATCCTTCATAACCAAGAATACCTCTTTAGCAGTGATGCGAACCGTCACATCGGGTATGACCGTTTCGGCATTCACATTCATATAATGTTACCTATTTTGTTAAAAACTATTGTCTTTCAAAGCTATTACATAAAGGTGCGATAGTGAAATCCACAGAAATCTAAATAATATTGCCTTATTATTTAGATTTCTGTGGTGAAATCCTTTGGTGGGTACTTGGAAGGTTGATTTAATTAAAAGGCGTGAGAATTACTGACTGGCTCCTGGTACTGACACTAGTGTAACCCGTGAATAATTGAAGTATGATCTAAAATACATAACAACGTTTCGCTTCATATTTATATAATATCATCGCCCACCACATCCTATATTAAAAGTGCTGCTGAACCTAGGCCTCACTACAGATTACCTCGTAGAAGGTATACTCGTATTTGCCATAGTTGCCACGCTTGGCAGGAGGGTAGAAAATTGACGTTATTTTTTATTTGGTGTTGTTATCAGGAAGTTGCTAGTGCCCATCTCACTCAGTCCTCCCTGTCGCCTCTTTGGACACCTTCTGGACGATTTGTGATAGTGGATATTCTTAGACCGTATGAAGTGTCTTACACCGTGTAGTACACGGATAGTAGAACTGATTACAGGGATTTATAAAAACGATAGGCAAAAAAGTGGTGCTCAGATTGAATTTTGAACATATTCTAAAGTGAAATAATAAATTAATCTAATTTGAAATGAGGTCGTATGAGTCAAATTATTGACACGTTGCTAATTTAACGTCTTGAATGTAATACACATTAAATGTTTAGGTAATTTTCATCGCGCACATCTCCAAGAGAGTCAATTATGATCGAAGGAAATAATTAAGATGATTTGGTTAACAAATCAATTATGGTTACGACATTCAACTCTAACGGCGCCTCTACACGTTGGCCAACACAGTGGCGAATGTAGTGGCCAGTAGCATTGGCTAACGTGTAGACGGGGTGTTTGGAAGGGCTTCATTGGTATGTATTGGAACGATGGCCCGCAAGTTGGCGCGAGATCCGTGTGGTGTCGGTTTTTTACAAAAGATCAGAGGATTGTTGGCGGAGTTTGGTCGCCGCGTCCACACGTTGGCCGCGCGTTTAGTTTGCTACAAGCTCCCAGAGTGATTACACGCATCTGATTTAAATTTTATATTCAAATTTTGTAGGGTGGGTGCCCCAATTACCAGCCTTTTAGTGCCAGTTTCAACTTGAAACATTTCTACTACTTTAATTAGAGCGATTTAATTATTATTGAACATTTGTTTTCATCAATAAGCTATTTATCAAAAAAAAAAACGTTTTTTTACAATCAGATTATTACGAGAACAATTATAAAATGAAAAAAAAATGAAGCACGTCGTTTATACGTGGTAGAACCAAGCAATTATATAGAAGTATAGTTGCAGCACGAAGGTCGGCTCGACCGGGGGAAGGACCACGCTCTCACAGAATATCAGCGTAAAATAGTAGCTTAATGCTGCTGTGTTTCGTATAGTGAGTGTAGAGAACCAGAGACCCTTTTTAAAGGAAACGAGGCATTTCATCTTAGCCCTCACGGCTGACAACGCATCTGCATTTTGATTCGTAATCGAGCATAGATGTAGATGTCTGTGGGCCACAGCAACCACTTACCATCAGGTGGACTGTGTGCTCGTTTGTCACACTATCCTATAAAAAAAACGTCGATTTCTTATAATTTAATCGTGCAAGATTTCGAATCATCATCATCATTACACCTGTTCACAAGTCCACTACTGAACATCCTCCTCCACAAACTGCCGCAAAGCATGGTCCTGAGCCACTTTGCTCGTCATGAGTTTTTCATTTATGTTCTAAGTTATAACTAGTACCTATTATTAAGGCAGTGTTAATTATATTTATTGCTATTGTTTTTGTCTTTCTCAAAAAATAATTAAATTACCAAATAAATTATAAGGTGTTTTTTATATACATCAAATTTCTGATAGAAATGCAAGTACATATTTTGCTAAACTTTAAAATCAAAACACAATTTTAAAACATAGACTAATCGATTATAACTCCTTTAACTTTAAAATAAGTTAAGTTCTTATTAATGTTCTTATTAAACGGGCCAAATTAGGAGTACCCTTAACCGACGAGCATGCATGCGTAGATGTATGGATGTGAAGGAGGCGAGAGAGGTGTATCAGGATCGTGCCAAATGGAAGTCTGTAGTCTCTGCCTACCCCTCTGGGTGACAGGCGTGAGTGTTTATGTTTATGTTTATATGTTCTTATTAATGGTATTTATTCCAGTTTATGATGCATGGAAAGAATAAATAAAGCTAATCGTATATCGTATATCTATTTACAGCCCCATTAATAACCACTATTATTCACTATTATTTTATAATTCTTTTATAAAAACATTAACCCCACACTAGGATTTTCTCCCGTATCGCGCAGGCAGTTTACAAACATAAATTGCACAAGGACACACATCCAGACCCGAAACAATTATTTGTAGGACATACAAATACTTGTTCCGTGCGGGATCAAACCCGCGGCGCCCGGCGCAGCCATTCATTGCTGAGCCACTGCGCCACGGTGCTTATAAATTCGTCCGCACATTGGCCCGACCGAAGTAAACTGAACGACCTTCCAACATGTGGACGCCGTCACCAACTATCGGCCAATATATTCGCCACTCCATTCGCCACTGTGTTGGCCAACGTGTAGAGGCGACATTATACGGTTTATCACGTGCGGTTACGTAAGATATGACACGTGTAAATTTGTAAACGTTACCATTGCATATCCGGTATGTAAATACTTGCTATCCGTTCATGTTGTCCAGGTAATAGCTTTTAATAATTTTTTGGCGGCTGATATCCCTCAAAAAATTTGGTTGTTGTGGTAAACACAAAAAATTTTCAAACAAACTTTTGGGCACAATGCTTAATGATGCCACAAAGAAGTAATTATTTTAATCGAGATAGTAAACTTATTTCGTTTTTTATCTTCATCGCTTATCCATGCAAAAAGGACTCGAAAAATTTCAAATGTTAAAGTTGCAGTTTATATATATCCTACTTTTCGGCACAGGCCTCCTCTCATATCTATGGATACCATATGTCAGGACTTTTGGGTTCTTGTCCAGGATTGCGGTTGGATTTAGAAAATGTCAGGATTTTAAATTTTTCAACAAAGTACAGTAAGTTTTTTCATGGGAGGGGTGTAATCTGAGACGTACTTGGTCAGCGGGAGTGCACAAAACAAATAATTGGCTTTTTTTTTAATCGAAAGATTAATAAATTATATTTTAGATTATAATTTGAGTGAAAGTGGAATGAAGCCTGAGCTGCCACAGTCCGTTTTATGCAAATTTTCTAAACTAATTTGCATTTTGGGACACTAGTTGTTTTGTTTTTTTTAATAAAAAGTTTTTTTTCGTTGCGTACTTAAAGTGTATTTTACATCAATAATTTTTAAAATACGTAGAAAAAATATGAAATGTGATTTATACAGTATGATTTAGAAGTTAATACGCACACAGTGTAACAAGTGGTATAATTAAAAAAAATGTACAACCGACTTCAATATAAATAAAAGCAGAACATCATGAGTGTATTCGAAGTACGCATTATTTAAGGATAACTCAAAAACTACCGGTTAGACCTTGATCAAATTTATATGGGATACGAGCAGCACAGCTTTCAGACAAAAACAGAATTATCAAAATCGGTTCACCTAGAAAGAAAATCAGAGGTAACACACATTAAAAAAAGGTACAGTCGAATTGAATACCTCCTCGTTTTTGAAGTCGGTAAGAAATTAGGCCAAAAAGGTACATACTTTGGTCTTTTCCCAACATCGCATCG